CGACGGTGGCCACGCGAACGACGTACGGTGTCCATGGCTGCTCTCGGTTGGTGCTCGGGGAAGAAGCTAGAGGAGAGGGAGGGAGTTCTAGGTTGAGGGGAAAGGCAGAAGGGTCTGCGGGGCGTCTCCAGCGTGTGGATCGGGACGAGAGGGGGAAACAGGAGGTGGCGGGGAGACGTGGCCGCGGTCGGTTGTGATGCGGGCACACAACAGCTTCGGGGCGAGGGAAGGAAGACGACGGGCGAGGTGCTGGTGGGCTGGGCCGCTGGTGGCCTGGCTCTGGGCCGCGTAGGTAAGTTTGCTCCAGGTGAGCCTCTGTCTGTTTTATTTTCTATTTTCTTCTTTTGTTTTGATTTAGTTTCTAAACCAAACCATTTATGTAGCTTCTGAAAATTATTATGTGGCTAGATACAACATATTCAGAGCCACTCATAAATTTCCAGAATTGTTGGACTTATAGTTCTTTTATAAGAGAATTAAATCCAACTCAAATGCTTATTGATTTAAATCCAAATGGCCAAAATAACTCCTCAAAAATGTTCCATATTTTTGGTTTGGTTCAAAACCCTTGCAAAAAATATCAAACATCACTAAAGTGCATTCTGGAAACATAGGATGCATTTTCCAGGGTTATTTGTCCTTCTTTAATTAAATTTTTGAGGCTTTCAAATTTCCTTAGTTCAACTTTCAGAATTTAGACAAGATGCATGGATGCAATGCCACTACTTACAAGTATTATTCTAGGGCTGTGACAGCATCTTTATGATCACCTAGTTATGTTGTGACATTTGACAGCACACAAGGTATTCCTCCGGTATCCGGGAGTTGCATAATCTCATAGTTGAAGGAATGAGTATTTGACATGAAGAAAGCAATAGCAATAAACTGAACGATCATTATGCTGAGCTAACAGATGGGTCTTGTCCATCACAGCATTCTCCTAATGATGTGATCCCGTTATCAAATGACAACACATGTCTGTGGTTAGGAGACCTTAACCATTTTTTACCAACGAGCTAGTCTAGTAGAGAGACTTACTAGGGACACGGTATTTGTTTATGTATTCGCACATGTATTTAAGTTTCCGATCAATACAATTCTAGCATGAATAATAAACCTTTATTATGAATAAGGAAATATAATATAAAATAACAACTTTGTTATTGCCTCTAGGGCATATTTCCTTCAGAGACTCCGTTGACGGAAGACAAACTGCTGGCATGAGTGCATGACACTAATCTGGATTGATTGAAGCCACATGAGCGATCAATGATTCAACATGCATAAAAACGTAACATGTTATACTCGTTCTCATGCGTTGGACATATAATATTTGAGTCATTATTTTTGTGTTCAAATGCCAGTATACAAAAAACTCGTACACTTTGTATTCAATTTCTTTCTCCATCATATTTTTTTCATGGAGTGGTATAGACCGCATGGCAAAATATTGGTATATACTCCATTGCAAATAAGTTATTTTTTAGTCTTCCATTGCAAATAAGTGGTATATACTCGTCGCAATAATATTACATATGCTCCATCACAAAAAATATGGTAGAAACTGCCCTGCAAAAGATGTCACATACCATCGCGCTTTGTATTCTATTTCTTTCTCAATAAATCATATTTGTTTCATGGAGTCGTATAGACCGCATGGCAAAAAAAATTGGCATATACTCCATTGCAAAGAAGATTTTTTTCTTAGTCTTCCATTGCATAGAAGTGGTATACACTCATCACAAAAAGGTTACATATGCTCCATCATGAAAAATGTGGTATAAACTGCCCTGCAAAAGATGTTGCACATACTCGTCGCAAAGAAGATGCATGTACTCATCGCAAAAATATGTGGCATATACTCTATAAATAAAAAGTGTGGATGAATACCCAATCCCAAAAATTTAAGTATCTGGAGTTGCCCCTCTCCCTCGGAAGACTTAGGCATGTGGACCTTCAACCCTACATCGACAAAGCGGTGGCTCGTCTTAGCCCGTGGAAAGGAAAGTTCCTGAATCGTGCCGGGTGCACTACTCTGGTTAAGTCCGTGCTCTCCTCCATGCCAATATTCTTGCTGACGGCTTTAACGGCTGACAAAGGCATCCTCAAGGCCTTTGCGAAGATCGGTCACAGCATGCTCTGGGCTTGTAAGGAGGCAGTTAGTGGAGGGAAATGCAAAGTCAACTGGCAAAAGGTCTGCCCCCCCAAGGAGCTCGGTGGTTTGGGGATTTTGGACCTGGAGAGGTTCTCCTGGGCCCTGAGGCTTCGCTGGTTATGGTATGAGTGGAAGGCTCCTGAGAAGCCATGGGTGGGCTCTAAAACCCCCAACGACGCCTCTGACATTGCCCTCTTCAATGTGGCTACTCGTGTCACCATCGGAAACGGCGCCAAGGCCTCCTTCTGGTCATCTTCATGGCTCCATGCTGCCCCACCAAAAGACCTGGCTCCACTAATTTTCAAGGCTTCCAAGAGGAAGAATCGGACGGTCTAGGACGCTCTCGCTGATAACAACTGGATCTCGGACATTGCAATGGATGCATTCACTGCCGATCACATGGAACAATACGTCCGCCTCTAGGAGCTCTTGTCGGATATCCAGCTTCATCCTGACACTGAGGACTCCATTACCTGGTCCTTGACCCCTATTGGGCGCTACTCGGCCAGCTCCGCCTACAAGGTCCAGTTCCTTGCCTCTTTGCCCTGCCAGTTCGGGAACATCATGTGGAAGACCTAGGCCCCTCCAAAGTGCCGTTTCTTTGCCTGGCTCGTAGTCCAGAACCTCTTATGGACCGTTGATCGCTTGGCGAAATGCGGATGGCCGCACCAACCTACTTGCGAGTTCTGCCGTACCTCCCTTGAGACGGCACGACACATTCTTTTCGAGTGCCGCTTCTCTAGACG